CCAAAATCTAAAGCCCATTAACACATTAACATTCTTGTGCTGGCTTGCAAACTCTGCCATTTCCTTCAGAAAATGCAATGTAATCTATTTTAAAAGATTAAACCTCAAGACTAAAATCAAACTGTAAATGGTTAACATTAAAGGCAAAATGAACTAACACTCACTGATTAGTTTGTGATACTCACAGCAGTGGAGATGACGGGCCGCACCTCTGAGAGGAAGGCTCGCCGTGGGCTGGAGGTTGTGCTGCGTGACAGGAAGGTGGGTTTGACAGACAGGAGCTCTACCTTCTCCCCCTCAGTCATCTGTAGAGGCCGAATGAGCTCTGAGATCTTACTCATCGAATCCTCATTACCTTCACACACACACACACACACACACACAAAGGTGACTGATTACTTCATTACTGTGTACAGTCTCATACTCCTCTCTCCATCTCAACACATCAACACTGCTGTTGATCTTATCAGTCTTCAGATTTTTCAGCATTAGACATTGTTTCATATTTCCTTATGGGAAGGGTAAAGGATGGTAAACTAAAGGTGAGCGAATATGAAGTGAACTATAATCAATCAATACCTTACAAAGGGGTTTGGACAGAAAATATACACTACTGTTCAAAAGTTTGGGGTCAGTAAGATTTTCTTGTTTTTGAAAGAAGTCTCAGCAGGGCTGCATTTATTTGATCAAAAATACAGAACCGTAATATTGTGAAATATTATTACGATTTAAAATAATAGTTTTCTATTTTAATATATTTTAAAAAGTTATTTAATCCTGTGTTGACAAAGCTGAATTTTCAGCAGCCATTACTCCAGTCTTTAATGTCACATGATCCTTCAGCAATCATTCTAATATGCTGAATTGCAGCTCAATAAATATTTCTTATTATGATCATTTTTTGGTGGAAACTGATTTTTTCATAAATAGAAAGTTCAGACGAAACAGCATTTTTTTGAAAGATATTTTTTTTCTGATCAATTTAATGCATCCTTAGAAATGCTTAATAAAAATGATTAATTTCTTTAAAAGGGTTTAAACTGTATTGTATGAATTTGTCTTAACAAAATGACAAAACATATAGCATTTATTTCAAACAAATAAAGCACAAACACGTTTTAAGCAGAACATTTCTTAGCTTATATATACTGTATACATATATATATATATATATTTATATATATATATATAAATTGATATACTGTATACAAATATATTGTTATATTGTTTACAATTAAGCCAAAAAATATTTAAACACTGTCAAACTGTAAAAATGACTCAGAAAAGTGAAGTTAGTTCTGGGAACATCTAATCATTTGAAATTCTAACGCAATGACAAAGATTCCCAAAAGTTTCCAAATATTTTGAGGTTCTTGCATATTATATATCTAATATTTAGTAAAATAATATTTAGTAAATTAATTCTAATTAATTTACTAAATATTATATATCTAATATTTAGTAAATTAATTAGAACTAATAAAATAGTAAAATGTCAAATATGGATTTTCACCACCACATAATGCAATGCAAAGCAACTCATTAAAATATTTAAAGTCCCCATGAAATCAAAATTAAAGTTTTTGGGGTGTTAGTATCAATGTGTTAGTCTTAAGGTTATCTATAAGGCAGCATGCGCGAGTATCGGAGCTTTGAATTCTGAATTCGAATTTTAATTCTACACAGAATGCTATATTTTATAGCAATATGGATGAGATTGTGGCTGGCATACCCTGTCAAATGCGGCTTTACGGAGCTCAACGGCTCTGAACGGCTCTAGCCCAAGCTGTGATATAAACTAACGCTATTGGCTATTTTAAAAAGGGGCGGGGCTGCTTGATGTGTCCCACCCTGTCTTCCTGTTTCAGTTAAAATGACGTCAACACAGAGTAACGCTGCGTGTTTCTAAGCATTTCAGGGGACCTTTAAGGAAGTGTAACACATGACCTTCTTCAGTATGCATACTGTACCTTTCCCAGAGGGGGCAGTGAGGCCGTTGAGAAGCTGGGAGAGGGTGAGGGGTTTGGTGGGTGAGCCGGGCGAGTCGCCCCCTGTCAGCTGACTGCTGCTCAGGATGTCTAACTTCCCAGCCTGCAATCTGAACTTCTCCAACTCTTTTGACAGCAGGTTAAACTGCTCACTCTGTGCCCGGCATTTTTCCTCCAGTTCTCTCACTTTAGCCTGGAAAGAAAAAGAGGGAAGGGAAGGAAAGAAAGAAAAAAAAGAGAAAGGCTAGGATTAAAAACATATACAGACCATTTTGGCTGGTCTGTGATAAAAGCATTGACATTTAAAACTGGTTACAGCTTTATTAACATCCATACTTCACATTAACTAACCGATGAAAGCTAATGAATGGAGCCTACAAACTCTACCAACTGTGAATGTGGTAAGCAACCTACAATAATACTACAAAAAATGGCCTACATCTAAAAGGAGGTTTTTCCTACCAAAAATCGCATTGTGTTCTTAGTGCGAAGGAAACTTCTCAGCTTCAGACACCAACAGAATCAAACAAAGACAGGAGTCAATCTATGTTCAGCTGTTATTATACATCAAATCTCTGTTTTGATCATGATGTTAGCGATGGGAAGTACTATTAAATGGAGGAGGGTACCACACATGCCAAAATAACAGTAAAAGCTGTTTATGCCTGATGATTTGACGAAACTCACATGTATATTTGTACATCAACACTATTATTAACCACATTAGAGGATCATGTGTGTTTGCATTTTAACAAGTCAACATACAACTGTAACTTGACCTGTTATACTTACAGTATGTCTTATGCAACATGTTTATGCACAGTTACAAGTTCGCATAAATCACTAAATGTGGCTTTTTGGGCAAGGAAATTAAAGGAGGGTGGTGGAAGGGAGACATGTCACGTTCTGCAATCCATCAGTTATGTTTGTTGTTGCCGATCTGATCTGCAAACGCACATATCCATGAGGCGCTAACAGGATTCAGCACAAGGCAGCACCCATGCATTGCAACACAGGAGGAGCAGAAAGGATCAGGCAGTGAATGAGAAACTTTTACCACTTAGTTACAAGAGCAAACTGGCTTTTGCAGCACTTTCATTTGTACTTTATGAACATGCCCTCATCTTCATTTATCTCCTGTGTTTAGCTTCTGTACAATCAAAAAACCTGCCTCCCAAGAGGAATGAGGGGACAACAGAACGGTTTCCAATCAAAAAAGAATAAATAAATAAAATCCACAGAGACATTTTGACTCTTGCTTTACTGAAGGTAGAGGTAATTCACAGGCAACTTTTGTCTTTGTTTTTCATTAGATAAATATCTATTTGGATGGCAACAAAGACATGCCACCACCCCCAAAAATAATATAACTGAAATAATAGTAACAAACAATTCATTGTAATTTTTAAATATGATATTTTTTTATATTTAATCGTTTTTTTTATTTGATATACAGGTGTATATTTTTATGCATTTATTGTTAAAAGAAGTTAATTTTAATTTAATTTATAGACTAATATAATTATTAATATTAGTCTATAAATTAAATAAAAACTAAATTATCCACCCAAATACTAAATATCCATTATGTTTTAATTTAATAAAATGTATATTAATAATTATATTAAAACAAAAATGTTTTTTGATAATGTTCATAAATAGACAGATAGGTAGGTAGGTAGATAGTTTAATAAAATGTATATATAGCTATTAATAATTAAATTAAAAAATGTTTTTTGATAATGTTCCTGATGTTATAACATTATCAAAAAAGAATACATACATAAATACATAAAATCTAAATTAAAATTTAAAAATGCAATAAAAAGCATCTGTTTGGCTTTGAAGACAAGCAAAATGTGACCCTTTTACTTTAAACATTTATAAAACACATAAGCAACTTTTGTCAGGAATGTATAAAATGACTATGAAGACTGATGGTTTGTACTAAAAAGCTTCAATAATTTGATCTACAGTGATATAGATCAAAGATATTGATCAAATGTTTACAGATCAATCATGGATGAGCAGTACAGTAATTGACAGGACAGCTAAACGAGGTGACAGGAACTACCCCCAGTGAGTCACACGGGGAGGAGAGGGAGAACTCTGAGGAGAAGTAACTCGAAAATACCTGCATGCTGTCCAAGTGATTCTGTATATGCAAAAAAAAAAAAAAAAAAAGACCAGTAACATAGTGACAAGAGATGCAAGGAACCAAACAAATCACAGTTGCACACACGAGCATTTCTACAGTTTCAGAAGTCACAGAGTCCCAACATGAGTACAATTTCAACCCCATTTTCCCTCAATCACCCATTAATGGCAGCAATGAATGAAAACAAGAAAGTAGAATATGGTAAATAAATAAATCATTAAATATGTATCAGAGAGATGTACATTAGTTTAAAACAATTATTAATCAAGCTGGTTAGCAAGGATATTTACAAGATTTTTTATTTATTTAATACATTTTTCTGATGTTTTTTTCAAATGTCATAAAATGGTGTAAGCTAAGATGTGACTCATATGGTAGCCAGATTTTTGGCTAATATGAGAAAATATACGATGACGCATGTGGAATGTGCTATACTATCATGGTCAGCCAAGATACGATTTAAAATGCATGCTTATATGCACACTCACATACACATGCACTGACATTCATGAGTAGATATCATTACTCACCTCTAACAGATGGACGGCACCTTCATGTTCCTTCTTAGCCTCAACCTGAGCCTATAAACAACACAAAAATAATATATGACCAAGTCAGTCATGCCATACTTCATAAAAGTCACAGCCAAATATATTCCTGCATGTTCCTAGTGTATAAACATTCTATTCCCAAGTTTGGCTGAATAAGCTTTAAGCAACAAGGACTTGTGATCGGATGCAGTGCATTGTAGGGTCATCCATTATAACTCTCAGCAGCTGTGGAAAACAGCATTCAGTTCCACATGAATAGAGGAACATCTGTTGGAGTGTCAGCCTCTGCAGTATCACAACATGAGGGAACATTTCAGAATTATGTATGGAGATTCACCTTCAGAACAACAAAACTTGGTTCTTAATGTCTTGACTTCTTCTGATGAGAGTGTGTGCCATTTCTTCTGTTTATTCTCCTCTGTAATCACAGTGCTCCATTCAATAAAGACAGACAATGACTCAAATGTTTCAGAGGGTGACAATGTGCACGCATTCTGGAGAAAATGTCAGATTTGATCACCTGCTCTGCCATTTCATTAGAGAGTAATTTACTCTGAGTGGTGAGACAGCGGCACTTTTCTCTTCATTCAGACGAGAAATGAGAGGAATATTTCAGAGTTATCTAAAATTGCTGAAACACTTTTTCATTAAACATCTCTCTTCATTAAGAGCACTCTGAACAGCTGGATTTTATTATTGGGTGTTTCTACAATTTTAAGCTTTTTTTGTCATAGGGGTTGATTTTTTTTAAATTAAAACGTATTTCATCATTTATTATAAGAAACTCACATTAAAATGATCTTGGACACTTTTTACTATGCCTTCATCAATAATCTCTTCAATACACCTTATATGTAAATATTTTATTGTTCTAAAATTAGACTTTCTATCTTAAATTATGAAAACCCATCATAAAAAATAATAACATTTTTAACATATAATTTAAACAAAGAGTGTAATTTGAATACTTACGTGATTTATATATATTTTTTATTAAACTGTCACACACAACCAACAATTTTGGCCCTAATACAGTTAAAGTTGTCAAATGATGCAAAAAGTTGGAAAATATTATTTATTTTGTATTTATTTAGGATACATATAATGCTATGAAATCAGCTATGAAGCTATGAAATCAGCCTTAGCAAAAGCCTTGTTTAAACAGATACCAGAAGCTTAAGCATGATGCAAGGTCTTCTACACTCTGGCCTGTGCATGAGCTCCAAAGAATTTGGTGTGGTTGGAAACCCTGATCTCTCACCTTCTGCAGAAGGTCAATCTCCTGCTGCTTGGCACTGAGGACGGCCAAGGCTTGTTCATGCTCTAATTCTAGCTGCTGCCTCCTCTCTGCAGCCTCTCGCATATGCTGGGAAAGAGAGAAGACAAAGCAGGAGGTGAGAGGAAACTCAGCGAAGGATGAACACAGACAGAATGAGAGCAACCATCAATCATTATTAAAGGGATAGTTCACCCCAAAAAAGAAAACTCGGTTGTCATTTACTTACCCTCATGATGACTTTCTAGAGAGGAGCACAAAAGGAGATATTAAGAAGAATGTCCAAGCTGCTTTTTTCCATGCAATTAAAGCGGATTGGGATCAGGGACAGCTACGGTAATCACTGATTTCATAGTAAAACAGCAGCTTGGACATGATGTTAGATAACTACTTTTGTGTTGTACGCAATAATGTCACAGTATGGGTTTGGAACAGCATAAAAAGCAAAGCTTTTTAGGTCACACTAAAACACTTTTAGCTGCTGTTAAAACTCAACAAAGGAGTCCCTGCACTGATCTATAGACCTCTTTTTATATCAGCTTATAAAAGTTCAGTCTCCAGGAGCACCAGAGACAAAAATCCCTTCTAATCCAGGAGTATCTGATGTAAGATTTCTTTTTACCTGAGCATATCAACTCAGAATTAGGGGCCGTTCACACTGAACGCAATCAAAGACTATAGAATACCCAAGACGTGTCACTTGTGTAGTTCTGAATGGGGAAAAATGCAACGCTCAATATGGCCTCTCTATTGAACGAAGCCCCGCCTACTGAGTAAAAGAGCCAATCGCTAATCTGTAAATTCAGCACGTTGCTGCAGCTGCACAACCACCCCCTGTAATCGTATCACCCCATCGTAAGAGCAGACCTTATGCTTTCAAATCGTTCTCGCAGTACTTTGGTGTCATTCAATGATCGGTGCGCAGCGACGCTTCAAGTCGAAAGAACGAACAAACACGTGCGTGTATTTGCATCGCTTTGATCGTTCTCACCTTCTCACGAGCGACGCGCCACGATTGGTCGATTATATACAATACCTGCATGTTATTGGTCAAACTACTTTGGATGTTTTAGGCAATATAAAAATCCCGGCCAGGAAGTGTCCCGTATGAACGGCACATATGCCCACCCTAATCCTAGGTGTATATGACTTTCTTCTTTCAGACGAATACAATCTGAGTTATATAAAAAATGTCCTGGCTTCCAAGCTTTATAATGGCAGTGAATGGTGGTCGAGATTTTGAAGCAAAATTGAAGCAAAAAAGCGTTACTGCAGCTGCCCGAGAGGCGTTTCAAAGATGGTCACCGAGTGACATGACTTGCCTTAAAGGGACTTTGACGCAATCCACTGCACTGCTTTTTCATTGTTTTAATATCTTAATACGCATTGCGCTTATGTCCCAAGTCTTTTGCTTTGTCCCGCAAATGACACAGCCTTCACAAGGTGCTCGAGTTAAAAGCAGTTAAACTGTTTAAAACGTGTCTAGATGCTGCACTTTTTTAATTCACTGCAAGTAAAACCATGTTCGGTGTGAACGGTCCCTTGCTGTGTTAAAGAGATAGTTCATCCAAAAATGAAAATTCCCCCATATTTTACTCACCCTCAAGCCATCCTAGGTAGGGTGACCATATGGGCCATTTTTACGGGACGTGTCCTTATTGCCTAAAATATTCAGGTTTTGGCTGTTTGCACTGTGAGATCGGTCGTTGTATGACATTCACGAGAGCTATAGAGAGTAGGGATGCACCGATACCGATACTGGTATCGGTATCGGGCCCGATACTGGCCTCCTGTACTCGTACTCGTACTCATTAAAATGAATGGTGGTCGAGATTTTGAAGCAAAATTGAAGCAAAAAAGTCCTATTCGGACGGTAATTGTTTCTCAGGGAGTCGTAAGGTATTTTCACCATTTACAGGGGGTTGTCTGTGATTTTATTGCCATCCGGATACAGAATGTTGGTGGTTTTCTCCGACCACCTGCGTAAAAATCCCCGTTCGAATTTGCTACTGTTTTTCTGACAAACACGAAGGTCATGTGGTGATTTAATTACCGTCTGAATCCTCATGTTTGAGTTTACAAAAAGAAATCAATAGCTTACGCTTCGTCTACATCCTACATCATCCGATGGAATGCCACTCTCTCGTGTACGCACGTATGACAGTTAGTAGAAACTAGAGATTTCGGTTTATGTAGTTTTAAATATGGATATTTTTCGGACACAAATGCATCGATTCACTTCAGAAGGCCTTTATTAACCCCCTGGAGCTGTGTGGAGCACTTTTTATGATGGATGGATGCACTTTATTGGTCTTCAAAATCTCAACACCCATTCACTGCCATTATAAGGCTTGGAAGAGCCAGGACATTTTTTAATATAACTCCGATTGTATTAGTCTGAAAGAAGAAAGTCATAAACACCTAAGATGGCTTGAAGGTGAGTAAATTATAGGGTAATTTTCATTTTTGGGGGAACTATCCCTTTAATACCTTCAGAATATGGACACTTATTTGTCGTCTTCTACTGAGCTTAAATGTTTTTTTTAAGGAAAAGTAAATCCAAAAAGTATTCTATAAAGTCAATCGAAACCCATATGTTAATTCTTTAAAGGATTTTCAGTGAATTTAACTGAGTCAGGGTAGCACCATATTTCATTTTTAAAAGGAATCAAATTGAGGCTGTAAAGGATTGGACAGTGCATTCAATGGATTGGTTTTTAACAAAATACTGATTGTGCAGCTGACAAAAAGTCTTGCAGTAGACAAAAACTCCATAGAACAGTTTTTTAAGTTGTGGATGTGGCCTAATGGTTAGAGAGTCAGACTTAATAGTTAGAGAGTCGGGACTTGTAACCCAAAGGTCGCGGGTTCAAGTCTTGGTACCTGCAGGGATATTAGGTGGGGAGAGTGAATGCCCAGCGCTCTCTTCCACCCTCAATACCCACGACTGAGGTGCCCTTGAGCAAGGCACCGAATCCCCAACTGCTCCACTGGTGCCACAGCAAAAATGGCTGCCCACTGCTCCTGGTGTGTGTGTGTGTGTGTGTGTATTTGTTCACTACTCACTGCTGTGTGTTTGACACTATACTTGGCCACACGTCACTTTCACTTAAAGATGAGTTGTGAAAATTATGTAATTTAGGACCTTTATACATTATTTATACAGCCATTGTAAAGAATGTAAGTCTTTCTCTCACAGCCTTGTGTTAAAATTAATATGGCATCTAACCTGACTAAGTGCTATAACAACTAAATTTCAATCTGTTCATCAAACAAAGCTATAGTACAAGTTTAGAAGACTTGAAATAGACACAGTCACTACAAACTGTTGTTGCATGGTTTTGAGCTGCACTTCACAGCATATGGTTTTGAAATGACACGAATGTGAGTAAATAATGATAGAATCCTCATTTTTGGGTGAACTATCCCTTTAAGCACTGAAAACAACAGCAAAATGTTGTTGTAAATCAGGTTTATGTAATTTGCTTCACCCCTTCAGATAAAGCAAAAACAGAAGTGAAGCATCATGTCAATCAGCCAGACTAAGCACAGCCACGGAGCTTCGCATGATCAATAAAGGGCTCAAGGGTCATGGCTCTGTACATGAAAGGGTGTGTGCAAACAACACAGCATGTTCAATCAGCAGCATTACTGCCCAACAACATCCCTAGAAGCTCTTCTGACCTGTTAAAAGTACACAGTGACAAAACCTAGCAATTTTCTTTCCATTTGTGACAGGTGAGGTTACAGGGGATAAAGGGTAAAGGAAGGATTTTCCATGCTGCAATGAAAGAGGAGTGCAGGGTAGTGGAAGGTTAGAATAATCTAACCTTCAGAGGACAAATAAACTGTACTGTGTGTGAAATGTGTTACGGTTATCTGACCATCAATTGTGAGTGAAAATCTCTATGCCTACTAACAATGGGACAAATTATCTAATAATAATCAAAAGTGCCTGATTTTTATGCCTCAATGGATTATCAGTACTTATTTAGCACTGCTGATTTACTCAAGTACTTATTTATTGAAAAGCGTAATCATTTTAACATATATAAATATTTTGTCAATTTATTTATTTACGCACTCATTCATTCATTCATTCATTTGTGACCATTAATGTATTTTTATTTATTATTTTCATTTAATTTAATTTTTTGACGAACAGCTGTGTTATAAAACTTTTTTTTTAATGAAGATGCCTCAATATTATGTTTTAAGTTAAATATTTAATGGATAATGTTCAGTCCAGTCATAATTGCAAAATAAACTCCTTCAAGATCATATAATGATAACAATGTTGCAGTTTATTTTGCAATAAGGAGGCATCTGCATAAAAACTAGACAATATAACCACAGAATAAAAATTAATCATCTAAACCATTAAAATATTGTGATAAATATTGTGATAGTACTAGATTACTTTTTTTTTAAAATCAAGACTGATAGTTTCAACATATTTCACACTTTGTACATTCAGCAAAACTGTCACCTCATAACTGAAATAAAAAAAAATCAAAATATTTTTAAGAATATTAACAGCATGTATATCTCACATTCAAAAGAAGAGCTGGGTTAGTTTCTTTTGTGAGGGGAGGGTGTAATTGTGCATAACTGTTGTGTCATGCACAAATGCATTCCACAGTGCCTCAGCCGGCGACCATTCATATCGCATACAGCATTCAGATCAGCTGTTAGTACACAGTCAAAAGGTCCACATTCAGTTAGTGCTGACTTCTGTAAAGTCTTTAGAGATACCTGATGAATGAAAAATATGGAGGGAGGCAGGGAGTGGGGAGGGGCAGGAGAGTGTTAGACGTTAGGGGAGGGGTAGGGTGCTCCAGGACTCCTAGTCGATCACAGATCCACACTTTGAGGGCGTACGACAGCTCTAAAACCATAAAAGAGTAAGAGGGGAGTAAAAGAGGTGAAAAAACAGATGAAAGTTTAGGTCATGATCTAAATCGACCTTAAACATGGCCAGCCAGGTTTCCTGAAACATACTGTATGTCATGAACTTGGATACTGAGAGACTTCACACTAAGAAAAAGGACTATAACGTTTTCACTCGCCACCACACAGCTTGACTTAGTCAACATATATGAAGGCTAATCAGGTAACCAGTAAAGAAAATGTAGATCGTAATTTTTATTTCTTACTCCAAATTGATGAAAAAAATAACATTTTGATTTTAGGTTGGAATGCCTTGATATGGTGAATCTCAAAAACATAACATATCACCCAGGATTTAAAAAAAATTAAAAATAAATAAATATATATATATATATATATATATAATATATATATTAGTTGATGAGAACATGTAAAATTAAACCAAATATACAAGCATTTTACACATTAATTACTATGAACTAATTATGACTTTTTAAGCTATATTATTTCATTTTAATATTTAATTGTATATATACACATTTTTATAAAAAGTATCAAATGTATCCTTAAAAGTCTCATGCTCAACTAAAATGTTACTAATAAAATGAATGAATTTATTAACCATAAATAATACAATTAAACAGAATATTCATGTACTTTATATAATCATTTAAAGGTGTATTAACATTTAATAAAAATAAATGTTAAAGGGATGGTTCACCCCAAAAAATCTAATTTACCCTCATGTCCATAAGGACTATAACGTTTTCACTCGCCACCACACAGCTTGACTTAGTCAACATATATGAAGGCTAATCAGGTAACCAGTAAAGAAAATGTAGATCGTAATTTTTATTTCTTACTCCAAATTGATGAAAAAAATAACATTTTGATTTTAGGTTGGAATGCCTTGATATGGTGAATCTCAAAAACATAACATATCACCCAGGATTTAAAAAAAATTAAAAATAAATAAATATATATATATATATATATATATAATATATATATTAGTGATTATTTAGTTTAACGCATAAAAAATATTTAGCGCAATTAACGCAGGGGCGGGGCTAGGGATGGCCACCCCACTCACAACTGCTGCTTCTGTCACTTTTTCTCTTGACAAGAAGTGCATTTATTCAGTCGCAGAACGACTGAGAACGGGAGACATTTCAGACGCACGCTCCATTTCACTTCAGCTCCAGGCGCGAGTCAAGCAAGCGCGGAAACGGTACTGTTCTCGCAGCGCATGCTCTTCAATTGCACGCACAAAGGCGCCGGCGCACGCTGTAGCCTGTATCCTTTCATATCAAAGTGTGAAATAAACTACGTGCATGCTGTCTTGGTCAGTTAAGTCATGAAGTTACCAAAAAGGCGATTAAAGCTGCCTTAAAACTGTACATGCATGTAATATATTTTAAATGAGTCACATTTAAAAACATGTCTCTGAAATGGTTTTCAAAACTGTCCTGGAGCAGCCCAGCACTGTCTCACTTATCTAACACACCCGATTCAACTCGTCAGCTCATTAATAGAGACTTTAAGACCTGAAGTGGGTCAGAAAAGGTAAAAAGAGTTGGGTTTATAATGGGTTTATGTGAAGATTGTTTTAAGTTAACTTAAATTAGAAGTATTTTTTTTTAAGTCTAACAAATGTTAAAATTGATAGCTCTGAATTATACTGTAATGATGAATGGCTAGTCATGTTGAATAGTCAATGGTTAAATATTAGAGGGGGGGGCAATTTTATATTGGTATCATTGATACTGGCTTTCAGTCATAAAAAAAGATGCCATTAAACAAATATAAAAAAATATACGGTCTGTATGTTGTTTGTACATTCATTTGAAGATTGAATGTGAAATTATTACAATATAAAAGGTTATTTAAAAACTATATTATTATATTTTCCATAATGAAAATGAAGCCTATTTAAGGCCATTAAAAGTTTTTATATTGTGACATTATTTTTATGACAATTATGCACAGACAAAATTCTTATTAATATAATGTGAAAAAGGTCATTTTCAATACTGTAATTATTTAGTTGTATTATTTAGGAAATATTTATATATCACGATAGATAGATAGATAGATAGATAGATAGATAGATGATAGATAGACAGACAGACATTAGACATATATTTTTAATAATACGTTTTCTTATTGCATTGTAAATAATCTTACAATGCAAATGTAGAGCATTGTAGAAAAAATGTCCAAACACAGGCTTCATTTTCTTTTTCCATAACTTATATTTTTCCTTCGATTATGTGATTTACACTGACACGTCTGGCGGGTTCTCACCTTCAGCACCTGCTCTAGGTTCTCCAGTTTGCCTTGGAGCTCAGTCCTCTCCAACAGAGCACAATCTCTCTGCACTGTCACAGTGTACAGAGCCTCCTGCAGCTGTTCATACTCACTTTTCACCTGATAAAGAGAGAGAGAGACAGAGATGAATCAAAACACCTTCAGTCTTACACTGTTTGCCCTCTGACCTCTGTTAGAAAGGTAAAAGGTCATTCTATTCTGCCAAAAAAAAAACATTTTAGGTTTTTAGATTACAAAAACACATGGCCTAATGGTTTGCGCACATGTTTGACACACTGGTACTCATGCAAATGACACATTTCTAGGTCCCATTCGCCCATCATTCCCTGTTCTCTGTCTCTTTAGGCCACATTTATTAAAAAATGAAGTATGATTTTATTTCATTAATGTCACAAGGATAAAACAAAACAAGTTAACTTCATTTTATTCATACCAACTATTAAAGGGATAGTTCACCCAAAAATGAAAATTTGATGTTTATCTGCTTACCCCCAGGGCATCCAAGATGTAGGTGACTTTGTTTCTTCAGTAGAACACAAACGGAGATTTTTAACTCAAACCGTTGCAGTCTGTCAGCCATATAATGTAAGTGGATGGGAATCACGGCTTTGAGAATCAAAAAAGCATACACAAACAAAACCAAATTAAACCCTGCGGCTCGTGACGATACATTGATGTGTAAAGATACGAAACGATCGGTCTGTGCAAGAAACTGAACAGTATTTCTATCGTTTTTTACCTCTGATTTTTTACCGCAATGTCCGAACTATCTGTCCTGAGCGTGTTCTTCTCAACAGCCGGCGCGTGAAGAGTCTTTTTTTTTTCTTGCTTTACGGCAGATCGCAGACTTATAAGTGCATTACCGCCACCAATCTCTCAAATCGCCGGCTGTTGAGAAGAACGCACTCAGGATGCGCTCAGGACAAGACAGTTCGGACATTGTGGTGAAAATCAGAGGTAAAAAACGATAGAAATACTGTTCAGTTTCTTGCACAGACTGATCGTTTTGTCTTTACTCATCAATGTATCGTCACGAGCCGCAGGGTTTAATTTGGTTTTGTTTGTGTATGTTTTTATGACTCTCAAAGCCGTGATTCCCATTCACTTACATTATATGGCTGACAGACTGCAACGGTTTGAGTTAAAAATCTCCGTTTGTGTTCTACTGAAGAAACAACATCTTGGATGCCCTGGGGGTAAGCAGATAAACATCAAATTTTCATTTTTGGGTGAACTATCCCTTTAAGATGAGAGTTTAAACCAGTAGTTATGAGTGTCAAACTTTCTGTGGTGGTTGTCTTTGGTTCTGTAGTAGTGTAGAGGAAAATCATGTATGGATAAGACCATCTGGACCCATGTGGCCACAAGGCTAATAGGTGAAGCTTTTGAACACAGTTCACAACATCCAGCATGCTTTCATAAACAGCAGGGTCTGAGAGGGCAGCTCTAGAGGCTCCAGGCACCTCCAGGAAACCTCCAGGCACATCTGCTCCACTGTTACCTCAGAATATATAAGAGGTTTCTTCAAAGGATTCAATTATGCCATTAAATACCCTGATCAATTGAAAATGACATACTCTGTTTGTCATTATCCACTGATATGCGATATATGGAGTATGTGTAGTCAGCACTGAGCTCTGGGGTGAGAGTCGTGTTTTTAGAGAGCGAGAGCAGAGGGGTTGATGTCCTGTATCGATCGCAGCGCCAGTCATGATAAAAAGCTGAGCTGTCAAGAGACAGCGGCAGTACTCACACTCCACACCTGTCCAGTCTGACACTCATCTCTTATCTGCAACCTGACCTGAACACCCACTGCAACAGCAATTACAGCTGAACACGCTTGTTCTAGAGGAAATATGTTTGAACAATTACACTTGTATTGTTGATTCTTATGACATTCAAGCAGCATGTTGTTGGATAGATGGTGGTGATGATGGTGGTGGTGTGCAAATGACCTTCATGTACAAATTAAAGAGTGTTACTCATTGCGTGTTACTCATTGCGTGGCTCGCGAGCCTCATGCGGCTCGCCAAGCTTTAATGTGTGGCTCCGATGGGAGATGGCAGTAAATAATGCGATGATATGATCAATACAGATATTTAATAAAAACATTAAAAACAAGCAGGGCTAAAACTAAGCCATTAAAAAACTCACACCGTGTCTACACTGGACGCGAGTGTCGTGGTGCGACTCGACAAAAGACAATAGAACCCATTTTAATTATGGCCCTATGATTTCTGCGATGCGGAAAACGCGGACGGAATTGCGGAATCCAGTCATAAAAACAGAATTTACTGTATAACGCGGAATGTCACGGAATTTGTCAAAGTTTGGGTGAATAAATCAAAAGTAGGTCATTACACTTAAATCAAATCGCAATATTGACTGGTATCTGTAAATATTAAGCTGCAAAAATAACATTTAAATATGAATCCTGCATGTCTCTTTATGAATGAATGGCACAGACGCGTGGTTTCATTTACTACACACATACTGAAGTGCGCAGTGTTTTCAGTGTCTGCTGTCTCGCTAAATGAGAACATAAATACATGAACAACAGTCAGTGTCTGCTCTATTACAAATAATTTATATTTTAAAAATACCCAAAACAGCGCAACTACAAGATGGAAATATAGCCTAGAAAGATAT